AATGATTTTTGATAGCAAAGTTGTGTTTAAATAGTTTCAAGTGCATTCTGAGCAGTACCATTTATTACAGCTTAATTATTATAGAAACAAACAACTGATGGACTTAGTAAATTTATTCTAAGAACTTGATGAATATGTTTATACTATGTGTAGAATGTTTACAAAATGCCCATCTTCTACACTTTTATACCATTATGAAGTGTGCTGTAAAACATAGGTGGATAAAAAGACACATAATCTTATTTTCAAGGGCTGCACTTAGGAAACTGAACTGAGAGGTTTGTTCCACATTTGAGAGGTTGCAATTGTGGAAAAAATAAAAACCAACACATGTTGATTATTCATGTGACTAAATACTTATTTACATTTTAAGTAGAAAATTAGGAACCAGGATTATGTATCCTCCTAATAGAATGATTCCTGATTATAAACATAAAACTAAATAACCCTTTTATCTATCTGTTTCTGTCTATCTAATCTATCTACTCATTCTCCTATATAAGAAATTAACTAACTAACTAACTAACTAACTAACTAAGAAGGTTTCACCTACCTAGCTCTAAAAGAACATAAAATTTCATCCAGGAATTGGGAAAAGTAAGCTGCCAGCTTTTTCTGTAGTGTTTAGAGAATTTGAGGATAAAGGGTATTTTTCCTGTAAATGACACCCCAGGTGTCCAAAAAGATCATAAAAAAGTAGAAACTTCTTAGGAGACAAAGGTGGGCCCTGGGCTCACGGTTTGCATCTTTATATAAATGTGCAATATACCTTATTTGTCTCCTGATGTTGAGGAGAACAGATGAAGACAGCCTTGCTAAGCCACTATCTCAGAGCTGCCCTGTCTCAGGGCTTTCTCACAGCCCTGGTTTTGCTCACTCTAACAGAGCGTGAGGGAACCTCCCTTTGAAGAAAGCAATACGCTTTCTCCATTCTGCATTGTTTATATGTGCACTCTCACTAAGGGAACCAACCACACAGAGACACTGAGAGAGGGAACAGGGAAAGCCACAGGATTTTTTTCAGCTACATGGTTTCAGCTCCCTGTCTGTTCAGACCTTTCAATCCATTCCCACATTAGTGTTTACTTCAGAGCCAAAGCAAATGCCTGCTGGGTGAGAAGCCCTCTTTGTACCCTACAGCCATATCATGTTCTCCCCCTCCTAGTCTGGAAACAATTAACTTTTCCTGGCTGGCAGCATTCCAAGGAACCTCTGGATGCATTTCAATCTCTGCTGTCTGCTGAAGCCTTTTTGGCACATGCAGCTTTACATCACACAGGCAGTACTACCTTTCTAATGAATTCAGCTATGAATATTTAAAGTTAAGTTCTAGAAGCTTTATATACATAGGCTTTTCTCATTTCAGGTAGACTGCTATTGGGAAAGGAAAAGGAGAGACGGTGTTTCCTCCACTTAGAACTGCTAGGCAATCCACTGATCTCTTGACCAGCAACCGGACACCTATGGGGCCCCAACTAGACATTATGAAAGTTTGTAGCCACAGAGATGGCTGAATCCTCAGTCAAACCACCTCAGCTGTGCTTGGACATGTCTGTAGCATTTACACTGGGGTTTATACACTTATATGCAAGTAAATGTTTTAACTCCAAAAAATTATATATCATTTATTATATATGAAGTATATATAAGCACAGAACTTATAAATAATAAGAAAACATGTAATATTCTTATGTAAACTCAATATAGCCAATAAGCTTTTGTTTATTTTTACCAAATTTTACATCTATACCTAACCTATAGTGGTAATTAAACCATAATTTGACAAATGGTGCTGTATCTTAATTTATTGACTCTCCAACACATTTATTGTCATTAAATTTGATATGTGATAGATCCTCCCTTCCCCCAAATGGTGGGCAGAGTATGATGTAACCTGAAGCCCAGAAATACCTGAGTGCCTAACCATGTACCTTATATCGACTATACATTGAACCACCAATCAGCGCCTGCCAAGTACCCTAAGCCCCCATTCCTTCCCATTCCTCCCCTCAAAGGGAGTGCTCACCTCTGCATGGATTGCTGCTCTCCCCTTGCGAGACAGCCCAGCAGGTCTTTCTCCTAATAAATCCTTAATACCTTGATTTCAGCTCCCGACTGATCTTTCAATATGTAACCTGTGAAACTACTTCTAATCTTTATACACACTAGGTTATTTAACTGAAATCCCTTTGAACTTTGGCACTACATATGTGAGATCTTCCCTTGTTTGTCAACATGAATGACTTCGTTGCTGTTTTAAAATGTATCTGGGATTCATTTTAAAAGGAATGGTAAGATATATAGACAGAAATGACTGTCATGAAGTTTATACTCACAGATCCCTAGACACAGGAGACATGGGACACCACACAGGACCACATAGGTGTTAACATAAAAAACAATTCAAACCTGTAAAGAATTTTTGTGAGTTTATTTGAGCCAATCTGTTGACAATTGCCAGGAAGTGGAACCTCAAGGAATTGAGATAATGCTCCTGAGAATGGCAGGTTACATCTATATTTATACGTTGCAATCAAAGGAAGGGATATAGGTGGGTTACATGAAATCCATTGGTGATAGACTAGAAAGGTGGGAGCAAAGCAGGGAATCCCCTGGGATTGGATAAAAAGTAAAATGATAGACACATATTTAGGTGGGTGCAGGAACAATTAACATGATAACAATGAAGGAATTTGTGGTATCTGTCCTGGCGCCCAGCACATTAGATTGTGCCCCAAGGGGTCCAGAAAAAGGGAAGTTACAGGTTACCCAGACATTTCAGGGGTATGTTATCATAGATGCAAAAAGACAGATAGGCTCAGTTAAGGTAAAGGTTGACCTTGTCAGTGAAGATACCGGCCTAGGATGTAACTACCCACCATAACTGCTTTTAGTTAAAGTTTAATTTTAAACCATCCTTTGTGGTTACTTTAGGTCTCTGAGTTTGCAAGACCGCCCTGCTGGCTTTACCTGAGCTTGTCAGGTTAGCATGTGGCTCCTTTTGTCTACATAGGAAAGCACCAAGGTCAGGGAGGAGACAGAGGGAGAGAGGGGAAAATGTAGACAAAAGCCTTAACTGTGGTTTCCATGGAAAGGAATGGGTCAGGCAAGGTGAACAGACTTTGAATTGGCTAGTTTGAGTAATTTTGTTGCAGAAGACCAAATAAAAACCAAGTGACGCTTTAAAGAAAAGGAGGGACACTGTTTAATATGCCGGCGGACTCAGGGAATAACTTTCCAAATCTGAGTAAAGAAACATGCAGGGAGCTTCTCTTTATATCTCCCTGTGGTCTTTGTCCAGCAAATATGGATTATGCTTCCGGTCCTTTTCGCGGGCCTTGCAAGAAGGCCCCAAGGGGTTGGGGGTCTCCAGGCCATATCTGATGGTTTGGCCTGGCACCAGCGTTAATAACCCTCCCTCCGGGGCAGTGCAGTGTTCACAGTTTTATGGCCTCTGTATCAGGTTCTGCAAGACCAGTTTCTGGGAAGGAGGTAGTGACTTAATTATAGGTTATCAAGAATGTACACTGACCTTGCTGGCATGGATTCCAACTGGTAGCCCCCAAAATATCAGGGTTACATTGGAAATAGCCCTTTCTAGCCTTCTCAATTTCAGCAGGCTCTGGGCATAGAGGCTGTCATTAGTTGTGTGGTACATATTCCTCTTGCTCCCTCTGCCTCCTAACCCACCCTGGTGCTTCCTCATGTGGCCCTTCATGGCATGGTGTATCCCATCCTTTTGAGATCTAAGTATAACAAACTATCTTCTCAATGGCCTAGCTATATCTAAATAATAATAAAACCTATATTTTAAAACAAATAGGCAAGAGCTGTTCATCCATTTAGAACTAAAATGGACTAACGAACTGCTTCTGCATTGTCACTAGGTTGTCATTGCTAAAGATCCTGCAAATTTATGGTGTTGACTGAGCTTCCACAAAGGCCAGTCCTAGGTGTAGCCCAGAGGTCTGCACAAAAATGAAGACTAATGAGCATCCACTTGGACATCAAGCATTGTTTTGAGGGAAGCCTGGTGCTGCTTGGGCCTCTGGAGTTGATTATATGCCAAAGGAAAGCTCAATAAACCAGGGAAGGAAACCCCAGCAACACTCAAGAAAATTGTCACAGGGCTTAAATGGTCAAAAACCTGTAACTGATAACTTCATCTAAAAATAATTCTCACTTCTGAGCAAGCTTGTGACATTTGATTTATTATGATAAAGGAAATGTCACCACAACTATCTTTGTGTCTTAAGGAGGTGGATGAACTAAACTACACAACCAGCAAATGGGAAACTGAGCATTGCAACTTTTGGTGTCTTGATTCCAAAGCCTATGTGCTTTTTCTTACATCTCTATTGCCTGGAAGAGATTGTAATTTCTATTATGAATTTGACATAAATTATGATATTTAAATTTTTTTATTGTTGACAGTATTACACATGTTTCCCATTCTCCCCCTTCCATTTCCCCTCTGCCACCCTGCCCCCACCACACCCCAGGCCTTCACCACATTATTGTCTGTGTCCATGGTCTATGCTTATCCTATATAATAAAGAGGCAATATGCAAATTGACTGTCATGCACTTGCACAAGAAAGCCTCCAACATGTGGTTACAAGATGGCCGCTCCCATGTGGTCAAAAGATAGCCGCCACAAGATGCCCAGCAGGGGAGGGCAGTTGGGGGGGACCAGGCCTACAGGGAAGGGCAGTTAGGGGCAACCGGGCCTGCAAAGGAGGGCAGTTAGGGGTGACCAGGCCAGCAGGGGAGGGCAGTTTGGGGCAATCAGGCAGGCAGGCAGGTGAGTGGTTGGGAGCCAACAGTCCCGGATTGTGAGAGAGATGGGATGGGCCTAAACCAGCAGTTGGACATCCCCCGAGGGGTCCCAGATTGGAGAGGGTGCAGGCTGGGCTGAGGGACACCCTCCACCCCCAGTGCACGAATTTTGTGCACCAGGCCTCAAGTCTCTCTCTCTCTCTCTCTCTCTCTCTCTCTCTCTATATATATATATATATATATATATGTATACATATATATACATACATATATATATACATATATATGCATATGTGTG